TGGCAGCCCAGCTCCCTGACTGGAAGGAGCTCCTCCCCCAATCTAGTTCTCTCTTGTCTGGTCTACACCCCCTCATCCGGTATGTCCAAGGCCCTTCATTCCGCTCGGCCTCCCCGGAGCCCTCGAGGCCACCTCGCTGTCCCCAAGGCCATGGTTGTGGAGGAGAGACACCCAGGGCTCCCCACAAGCAGGAGGGCGCAGATTCAGCCGTCCTCGGGTGAATGTGAGGCAGGGACCCGGTCGCGGAGCCCCCAGGGTCCAGCTTGCAGGGCCCGAGGGGGCCGGCGCAGGCCCTTGGTGAAGTCGAGTGACCGCAGGGCCATCCGCTGACAACACCCTGCCTGTGAGCTCACCAGTCGGGGCCGGGAGGAAGAAGCTGGGAGTCCACACTCGCCTGCCTGCACTTTTGCAACCCGCCTGCCATCCCGGCCCCCCTGGGCTTGGCCGCCTGCTGCAGCAGGGCACTGGGGCATTCACCTGAGGGGGTGGGTCGTTCCAAACCAAGCTACTCACTTTAGTGCATTGGCCACTTTGCAGTAGAGACAGATGACCGCACACAGCAGCAGGAAGAGGAGAACTAGTAAGGTGGAACCGATGACGACCATGACGTTGAAATTCATCATTCTCTGATACCTGGGCAGGAGTGCAGGCGGCAGTGAACGTGGCCCCCACCCCCACAGCCCCCGGCAGCCTCGGCATGCTCCTCTGGTGGAGGGAGACTGAGCCCAGCCAGACCCTTCTGGGTGTAGAACATGAGCAGGTCTGCCCAGAGGGAACTAGGACCCCAGGCTGGCCCTACGGTAGAATCGGCTTACTTGTAGCCGAGAATAGGACTGAGCTGAGGACTCCAGAGACGGAAACAGTGGTTGCAGATCCTCCACGGGCTCAGGGCGGGCCCTGAGGGGAGACACTGGTGACCAAAGTGTTCCCGTGGCACCTGACTATATAGTCACCGTTAAAATCAGAACTGACCCGTCCCTGTGCCATCAGGCATAAAAAGCTTTCATGGGGTTAAAAAAGGTAACTGTTTTCAAACGGTACGCTGTGTCGCGCAAACTGGCTCTTGGTTTGTCACAGGAAAAAGCACGTAATTCTCCCGCTCAACAGTGTCATGCCAGCTACTGGTTCCAGAGTGCGTCCAGCCAAACGCTTTCCTAGGCGCAGGCCGGGGAGTGGCCAGCTCAGGTCAGGAACCAGTCTCCCCAGGAGAATCTGCTTCATTCTGCCTCTCTGGGATACCAAAGACACTGCCATTGCCCCTCCCCAGCCCTTCCAGGAAATCCACTGTCTGGAATAATCAGCGTGTTTAACCCTCAAATTGGGCACCGGTGAGCCAGGAAAGAAGCATAAACATTTTGACTACTGGGCATACTTACTGCAGTTAATCTATCCAGATCCAGATGAAGGTCAACTTTAAAAACGAACAAACCAACCAACCAACAAAAAAAACAAACCTTTAGGGAATGGGATATTTTATCAAACCTGGAATTTGAGAAAGAGGGATCTAATTATCCATGCCAGGAGGAGAGGCCTGAGGATGAGGAGCTCCCCTTAGAAGCACAGCTACTGTCCAGTTCCAAGTTCTGTGCCACAGGCTGTGTGACATCAACTCGGACACCCGCTCCCTCTGACGGAGTTCTGAATTCTGCCCCACCTGTAGGCACATTTAGCCGCCACGAAGTAAAACAGTTTTGCATCACTTGACTGCTGCTTATTTTTCTCACACTTTTTCAGGATTTGACTTCTAAGTAAAGCAGGCTTTAACATTTCAATTTAAAAAAATGTCGGGAGACTTACAAGTCCAAGTACAGAGACATTATTAGACCTGAGTTAGCTAGAGAGAGAACATACAGCCATTTACTAGATTTGAGCATATGCGCATCGACAATGGAAGCTCCTCACACTGCCTAGTTGAGATACCTGCTTAAGTGTGTGTGTGATCTGAAGGGTCACATACCCAGACAGTCTAGAAACATTAAATGAGGAGACTCTGAGTGCGGACAAGATGGCTTAGAATTGTTCCTTCTGCTCCTTCCTGGGAAGCGTAACTGTAATCCCTGGAAAAAACATAAGAGTCAAACAAAGTTGGAAAGAGGGAAGCAACCGGGCTAGAGACCCTGGACCTTGAAGCACACACAGCAATCCAGGGGAGGGGCCCAGACCTTGTGTTGCCATCTCTGAACCTAGCAACAGATGTGGGCTTCCCTCCCTCCCTCCCTCGCCCCTCCCCCACCCCCTGGGGTTTGATGGGAGTCCCAGAGCTCTGCTGAGAACCCCAGCTGGCTCTGCATCAGTGGCAAGGGGCAGAATTTGGGAGCCCTGCTGACAGGAAGCGGTCAGGAAAAGTATCTTCTTTCTCACTGGTCCTGCAACTTCTTCACTGAGAGACAGCAGAATGGCCAGTTTTTAGCCTGACAGAAATCCCACTGTAACATGCATTTTTGTTCCTGTGGGTCAGATTCCTTTCTACTTTCTATATCCATCTTCTGCTCCTTTAGCAGAACGGCTGGGGTCCTGGCAGCGTCCATAGCAATAGTGAAACTAAGCACATCAAAAATGAGTTATCACTGATGCCGCATCCCACAAAAACGAGCCTGAACCTGAATGCTAAAGCTAGGCAGGGTGACTAGCTGGTTAAGACATTTCAACAGCATACAGAACCTCCTAACAAAATATTGAGGATTCAAGAGAAAAATCACTTCAGACCAAGAACCTGATCAGAAACACCTGAATGGGAAAGACCACGAATTGATGAGAACAAGAGCCAGCAAATGCTGGAATTACCAAAAAAGGGTTTAAAGCTGGTATCAGAAAAAGGCTTCATCAATCAATTAAAGCAGTGAAACAGAGAAATCTTGGCAAAATAGAAGTTACAACAAATGGAAGTGATTCAGTTAAAAAAAAAAAACCTTACTGGATGGCTTGGTTAACAAATGGAGGAACAGGCCTGAACCAGTGAAATTTACGGTCAGTACAATACAATTTACCCAACCTGAACAAATGAACAGAACCTCAGGGACCTGTGGACTATAACCAAAGCACCAGCGTGTGCGTCATTACAGCCATAGAGGAGAAAGAGAAGGGGGCTGAAGAGTTTCTAAAGTAGTAGTTCCAAACTTCCCAAGACACAAACTGATAGATTCAAGAAGCCAAGACATTCCCAAACCAGGATAAACCCAAGAAAACCCATGGCAAGACACAAACTTCTGAAAACTAAAGACAAACTAAAAAGCAGAAACATGTTACCTGTAGCAGAATGATTCAAGCGACAATGGACTTCTCATCTGTAACCATGGAAATCAAAGCAAGTAACACATGATGTAGGGATGAATGAGAAGACCTGTCAGCTTCAGATTTTATATCCAACAAAACTACCCAGGAGTGAAAGGGGGCCGGGAGACATTTTCAGATGAAAAGTTGTTCCACCTCCAAAGAATAGTTAAAGGCAAAATAGCTGATGGACATGATGGGAATGGGAGGAAAATTGAGCTAGGAGTCAGGGCCTTACTGAGGATGGAACATGTCAGGAGAGACCCGGAAAACAGGACAGGGATGAACTCCAGGCCGAGAAAATGTTGACAATAGAATTCTGCGATTACCATGGATCTAGTGTTCAAGAACAGTAAAAGGGCCATTGCGCTGCAGCAGAGATGCCTGCCAGGGAGAGGGGGTGAGACATGAGCTGGAGCAGTGAGTCAGAGATACCTCGCGATGGTCTAGGAAAAAGGTCTAGAGTTTTTTCCAACCCATTGAAGAATGCCTTCGGCAGGTGTCGGTTGGGATTTAGGAAGGAACCCTTGCTACCTGGCTGCAGAACTTTTTACAGACAGACCAAGGGTCCCCAAACAGTTGGAGGGTTGTGGAACACACCCCCAGTACTGCCAGTCATGCCAGGAAACTGCATTCCCAGTGAGCCCCACGGTCAGGCGTTCCCGGGCCAGACTCGAGGACCCCTTCTCGGGGTGCTGCACCTTGAAGGTGCCCTCACGCTGGCCGCAGAAGCGGGGCTTGCAAACTGAGTGGAGTAGAGGGGGGGGTCAAGAAACACGTAGCTGTTCTTGCTGTTTCAGAGACAGCACAGGAGTAGAAAGAGGAAGAAGATATTTAACATTTACTGAACCTCTCCGATACCAGGTCTCGGCTAAGGATGTCATGTTAACAGTACTATAAACCTTGTACACGTGCAGAGGAGAGAAACCAACATTAAGAATGGCAAAGACGGGCACCCGAAGCGATCGGGCATGCGACTGAGCGGAAGGAGATGCAGCTGTTTCTATCCTTGTGCAATTTGGCTGTCACCTGGGAAGCAAATCTTTGGGGGCATTTGGAGAGACCCTGTGACACCAGGCAGGAAACGGCAGTCCTGGGCCACGTGGGGCAGAGGCTGTCCCGAGGGCGGCGATGTGAGGGAGGAAGGGGCAGCCGGAAGATGCTCCATTTGTTCCGCCTTGAGCGGTGGCCGTGAAGGACAGATGTTTCGCTTTTGAATTTCAGATATCACAGGGGTCAGTTCTAAGTAATGGTTGACACCAAAGTCCGGTGGGCACAGGGACAGGGGAGATGGAGGCCAGAGGAGGTGAGAGCGCTGGGGCCAGGCCCATCGCCAACCTCCCTGTCAGACCCACTGGCAAGGCTAGTTCGCCTGGCGCTGCCGCTAGAACAGAGATCAACACTGTGGCTTTCTGCTTTTGGGGTCTGGCAGCTTGTTGCTCATTAGTCAAAACTCAGGAGACAGGAGCTGGTGGAAGGAGTCAGGCTTACGCTAGCGTGAGTGCACAGTCGGCTGCCCTCGAGAAGCCACCCTAAGCCAGCAGCTGGGCAGAGGCCACCCTGGAGCTCCGCTTAGCCGGGATGGGCGAAAGCACGGGCAAGGCGGGTGGCGGCCCACATCCACTGGGAAAGTGGCCCCCGGGACGTGGCCGCGCCGAGGACACGTGGTTGAAGCAGCAGGAGCGCGACATGACCAACTCGGCTCAGGAAGGGCCCCGTTACAGCCTTGCTGGGGACCCCACTCATGCATCGCCCCCCCCACATCATGCACTGTGGGGACCAGGGGGCACAGCACCAGGTCACTGTCCCCCTGCCTGCCTGCTGTGCAGAGACTGGCCATCTGGTCAGGTCCCGGTGTGTGCTGCCAGTGACCTGGGCCCTTGCTCAACGCGGAGGCTCACAGCCCCCCAGCTGATGACACAGCGGAGGGCAGGCCCCAGCCAGCCAGCTGCCCGAGAGTCCGCTCGGTCGCTCCCCAGGTGCCTCGGGTGAGCCACCTGCCAAGCCCTGGGCAGCCACCTCTGCACAGTGCGAAGGCACATTCCTGGGCCCCGCCAGGGACTCCACACTACAGCGTGACGAGAAATCAGTCTGTTCATGAAAGTCGCTGATGCGAGTTCCAGGTACAACGGTACTGAGGCAGACCAGAGTGAGAGTCGCACTGCAGGGTGGGGTCCTCCCGGGGTCCAACACAGCGCCGCCTCTGGGCGTTTGCCAGGAAAGACGGGGCGCCTGTTACCAGTGAGAACGGGGCTCGAGCCACTGAGGTCGAGTGCCCGAGATGCACACGTCACGGCCGCGCTGTCACGAGGCTGGAGGCGCATCTCAGAACCACAGGCCTCCACACGAGCGTAGTGGCCCTGTGCCATCTTAAATATTAGATGGGAAGAAATATTTGTTTACCTAAGACAAGCTATCCCGAATGCTTTTATTTTTCAAATGCAAACATATCACCCTTCAACACATACGATAGTTGCAGTTTCTGAAAATGAAGTCGGCCAGCCACGTGCTGCCTCCGCCAGGCCTGCGCTAGGACCTGCAGCGCAGAGCCTCCGGGCTCACACCGGAAAAGCACTACAAGAATCCCCATCAGTTCAGAATAGAAGTTTCTGGGTTTTATTATATAAAACAAGATGACTTTGTTTTACATCAAAACTAAATTTGAAGCAATAACCCTAACAAGGGACAGGCGAGTTCCGATTTTACTTTCCTTCCTCTAGAATGTCAAATTCATGGCCCAGATGCAAACTAATTTTACACGCACGTACCACACACAGCATCTCGTTTTTGTCCAAAATAATTTCAGTTGCACTGAAATTAGAGGTTGCATGTCGTAATACCCAGTTTTCCAAAAACCATGTAGAAAAGGAAAAGAATCAAAAACCAAAGCTTTTTCTACCCCTAGGACTATGAAACAAGGTCTTTGTATAAATAGAACACTTCAAAGTCAGACACACACACACAACACAATGAATTGGAATAAATCCTTAATATTTTAAATATCAAAGAATATGTAAATTTTTATAAAAGTGGAAAACATTGCAAAGAGAAATTGTGAGCTCACACGTCCGCCCTATGTGCAACGCGGGCCTTCGGCGAGCGGCCAGGATGAACGCCGGGCCTGTCTGCTCGACACGACCTCAAGCAATAAACACTTACTTTCGGCTTTTTTGGGTCTGGCTTTGTAATAAATACGTAATAAATACCTGGGGGACACTGCACCCCGGGGCTATCGCTCCCCATTGGAAAGTCTCTCCCCAGAGCCACAATGCCGCAGCGGCAGCGGCGCGGGCGGGGAGCCGGGGCTCTGCGCCTCGCCCACCAGCAGAGCGATCTTGCTGTCCAGGTGCTCCTGGAGCCGGGACAGGCGCTGGTCGATGTAGCCCGTCAGCCTCTTCTCCATCAGCTCCAGGTTTCTACACAGCATCTTCTCCAAGTAGGAGCACAGGGGGCTCTCGTCCATCCTGAGGACAAATGGGAAACACACAATCATGCCCAGGGGTGGCGCAACCGCCCGGGACAGTCTGAGCCGCGGAAGTCTGTCCCGACTGCCCTGTGCTGCCCACGAGGCGCGTCCGCGTGGAGTGCACCCGCGGACAGGGCCCGCAGCGAAGGCCCACACACGCCTGCCGCGGGCCGGTGCCACTCTGCTCTCAACACGTGGACGTGCGTGCATGTGCCGGAGGCCGAAAACACTCACTTCCATCCAACCTCCTGTGGATGGGACTGAAAGGGAAATGCAGAACGTGAAGACGAACCCTCAAGCGACAAAGTCCTTGAGAAGTCCCCGTTCTGCTTTCCCAGGGCTGCCGCGGCACTGTGGCGGGGCCCTGAGCACCGGTGGGCGGGCGGGCACAGAACATGCGTGTGCAAGGCGGGAAACGCG